ATGCAAGGGAAGCAGAATGAAATATAGTATCCTATGCCATCTAATTGTACAAAATAGAGCTCTTCTAAATTCAACCTTTAATTTCCAGGTGCTCAACCCAGTTATCTATGCACATTGTAGCTTTTTGAAATCTTCTTCCTTTTTCATACTCTTTTGGTATACTTCCTGGTTACTGTCATTTCATAACTAGACATACCGAATCATGTGAGGTCCCCCTCTGTCCTTGTCACTGTAGCATGGGGTATCCCCAGCCCATGGCAGCAACCCAGTGTAGACTGGTGTGCTACCATTAAAACATGATGATGTTGTCCACTAAAGCAAGTGCTCTGATAACTGAAACAGCTGCTGTGTCACTGGACCTGCAGTGTGGTCTGGAAGGGGAGAATGTTTAGCAGAGTCCTGCCGTGGCTCTACAGGCCTTTTTTCACACAGCTCTTTCAGTGTCTCGTACATACCACCCACCCTCCACTTGAGGCCTGTCCAAGTGCCAAGGTATCTTCTGGGTGAGATGGGAACCCTGGCATCTGAGCCTAGGATTTTAGTCAAGACATTTTACCTTCTACCCATTCTTTAACCATAGGACTTTCCCCTCTCCTGCACCCTTCACCTTGTGTTGGACCACTTCAGTCCATTGTCCATTTCCCATAAATGGCTCAGCTTTCTATACAAACTTACCCACCAGATTGCCAGCTACCTTTGAGCCTAAAGCCCAAGGTATATGGGGAAGGATAGCTTTTTTCAAATCCCTCTCACCCGCCCCCCCCCAAAAGCCATATTATTCTTTCTCCCAAAGCAGTGGACTCCTAATAGCCTTTCCTCAGAATTAACGAGAGTCACTCATGGCTGCTTCCATAGGTGACTCAATATCTATCTAATAAAAAGAGGACTGGCTGATGAACATGCACTTATATTATGACCTTGAGCTCAAGGATGCAGTCATTATGTTGCCAATCTCTTTCCCACATGACACGTACAAAAGAGACAATAATAGATAAGAAAGCAAATATTTAATCATTAGGAGGATCAGGAACCAATAACATCCAGAAGCAGACCTCTGGTGACTCTGGTGATACTATACACTAGACTAGAAATCCCCCATTCCCTTTTCCACGTCAAGTTATGCCCACTTTATTGTCCTGCCCTGCTCACTTGAGATACACAGAGCACATATACCAGAGCCTGGTGATCCATGTCCAGATGGTCCCTGGTGTCAGGGGAACCATGACAGGGCATAGCTCAAATGATCCAATGCCAGCAATGTAAAGCAATGATGGAGACCTCCAAAACTTCAATGTCGCTTCCTTCCTTTTGTTGAAGTGACTTAAAAGATAAAGTTGAATTTCAGTTTTCCTGTTCTGTTTAGTCTAAGCTGGAAGAGGTCACACTCGAGAATTGGGATAGAATAATGGATTGACTGTAGTATTAAAGTTTAGATGGGTAGACTCCCTAATTTTAGTTAATCTAACCACACGCCTCATGTGTCCATATTCACAAAAAATTCCACATGGTCAAAGGACCTCAGGGATAGTCCAACACTGCTCCCTTTTATAGGGTCTGAATAAGTGTAGGGAGGATTCTAGATTCAATCCCCTCTGCATGCCTTTGTTCATACAAGTATATTATCTGTGCCCCACTTTTCCAAAATACTGGAGTAAACTCTCATTATGAATTTATACTTTCTACTACTTCTAACCCTAGAGTTAAGTGTTCAAAGTTATCATTGTACTGAAATAACTGAGTGATACCATTATAGAGTTGATCATAAACTTAATACGTCAGTTCAACTTGTGAACAATGTTTAGACATTTCTAGTGAATTGGTTGCTCAGCCCAGTCTAGAGAATGGACTTTGATTTGGATTGCATTAAGCTCATTTATAAAGCTTCAAGTCTCCCAAACACTCTTTATTATGATGACTATTCGTAGGCCTACTAGGAGCTATTCTTAATAAAAACTTACTTTAAAAACAAAGTGGGTGGGGGTGAGTACAAAATTAGGAGAGGTCATAATGACTCAAGAATAAGAACTTATGCCAACATAAGAACTCAAACTTCCTATCATGCTTTAAAAAAACCAAACAAACAAACCCTAAAAGGCCAAGCACTGAATAGTAGAGAATGTACTGAAATAAACTTGAATTCTTTGATCTGCGAGTTGCGTCTCAAACCTAGCCAAATACTTTCTTCCCCGCAGCCAAATCAACATTAATGAGCCATTTTGACCAAGTAGGACTCCAGCGACCTAGGCAAGAAAGAATTCAGCAATGATGTATAATTAGACCCATAAAATCCTTTTTCTGTTTTGGTTCAGAAAACATCTGTGAAATTCCACTTCAAACTATTCTGCTAAGCTATTTTCTTGTTCTTTGCTTGGTATATCTACTAAATGGCAGTTCAATCTCTATATATAATGGTCTTTGTACAGTCTTCTTAAAATATAGTTTTTAAAAAACCGACACATATAATATCTAGGAATAAACAGTAGAGTCTCATGTTAAGACCTAGATTTCTCTTGGCACCAACTCTGTCACAATCAGCTATGTAACCACTAGACAAATTATACACTCGTTCTTGTCCTCAGTTTCCTATCCTTTATGATGAAAGGGTATGACCAAATATTCCCCGAGTTTCTTCCAGCTCAATAGTCTAACCCACTTGCTGTTTCTTTAATGGACAAAGGATTGTGGAAGTAAACCATTGGACCTCACACTTGTCAGTACATTGGGATCATCTGGGACTCTTTACAATATATTGGTGCCTGAGTCCCTTCTCCAGAGATTCTGGTTTAATCGCTTTGGTGGTGGCATAGAACTTGACAGTTTGAGATCTCTCCAGTAAAATTTCCCCAAGTGATCTGAGTTAGACCTTCTAAACTGCCAGTAGTAACGATGTAGACTTAGAGTTGACTCAGGATCCATTAGAACAGACATCTCTGGATAACGTAGAGTAGATTTTTGTTCCCACAGTCCTGTTTCCATCAGAACCTGCCCTCTGTAGGCTCAGAAGCCAGAGTTGAACAGAAGGTGACTCCAATATTGGCAAACCCTCTCACTTTTTCACCTGGGCCTTACTAATTAAAGCACTATATTCCGCCATGTTTCTATTTACTAGCTGTTTACTTATTGGTCCCAGTTGTTCTGCAACTGTTTAAACACTTGCTGTGGAAAGCAATGTTGGATGCAATATAAGATTGCACAACACATAGTGTCTATGAAGCCTAACTCTGATTTAATCACAGCTGCCGTTTGTTAAGCACTTCCCATATATATGCAAGGCACTGAGGTCTCTACATAAGTTCTTATTGATTTCTCATAACAATTCTGCAAACTATATTCCCATTTTACAGGTGAAGAAATAAATACTAGTTACGTTGTCTCGGCCACAGAGCTAAACGATGGTGAAGTTATCTAAGATTCCCAAGCCTGAACTCTTAGCTGCTATGCAATCTCACCTCTGCTCACAATGAACTGTAGAGGGAACTTGTAAATCTGGTCAGACTTGGTTCCAAATATAGGGAACAGCTTCTTGGTTCAGGGCTCTTAGCGTCCGCTCAGTCCCGTAGCATCCCTTGCAAGGGTTAAAAGCAATGATACGTGCTCTCTGTAAATGCCTAACTTGTGTATATCTCCTTGATTCAGGCATGTTTTGTTACTGAGGCCCCTACAGCTGTGTCAGCATTTGCAAGCACATCTGTTAAGGACTCCTTTTCGGTGTGCATTTACATGGTCTCACCTCCCCAGTTAAAGAGGCTGCATAAGTCTTCCTGTCTGCTCAGTGTGGCTTTTGCAGGTAGAGTAAGTCTTCCTAAAAGCATGGGCATCTAAGCAGCTAAGGGAGAAAGGAGTTACATCAACTTTCAGAAACAGCCTAACTTCACCGCCTCATTTCTGGCAACCTTCCTCATTCTCAAAAGGCTGCTTTGAAAATAGTGGTGAAGGCTGTTCGCTGCCCTCTTGGACCCTGAGGTCTGCCTGGAGGTTAATATTTCACATGCCCTAATGCAGTAGCTCAGCTGAGACAGGCATGAAGTTCTGAAAGACAAGGAAACACATTCTGTGACCGGTACAAAGTACTGGACGCTCTTGGTAAAGATGTTTATGTTGCTTTGTTCTTGACTCTCCTTAACTCCCCTAACTGTGTCTATTTATGTGGCTCTTCTGAGAAAATTTACTGATATCTTAAAGTCAATGGGATTATGACTGTGAACGCAGCTTATAAAATACGGGTTAAAATCATTGAGCTTTAAAAAAAATAAAGAGTAGCAGCATATATGGTAGAAACAGAACATGGATCATGTTCGGTTTTAAGCTCAGAGACGTACTAGCAAATAATCTTGTGTTACCGAGTCCATTTCATTATTCATAAAGCAGAGACACATTCTATTTCATGGAGCTGCCAGAATAAACGTTTTAAGTGCTTGATAGGTTAGGTGTTTGTCTCATTCCCCTTAACATTAAAAATAGATTCTCTGCCATTTGTGGAATGGGCCTACCATTCAATAAGTCCTTAACTCAAGTTACTCCTTTACCAACATTTTGAGGCTGACTAAGAAATTTCTTCTCTGCTCTGTATAATTAGGGCTAGAAGGTAGACTGGGCAGAAGGTGGTAAATTGGTGTCAGGATATTGCTTTAGAATCCTGGGATTATTAATTAGTATTATTGCCGATACCAATATATTCCTACTGATGGGAAAGAAAAGCAAAAATAAGAAGGTGCCAGCCAAGTTTGCCTCTACACAAATGTGTTCTTATGCCGAGCATTCCAGGGTTCTAAATACTGGATGTCTTGCATGCATAACTTTAAGGGCTAAACAAACTATAGCAGATTAGCAGATTTTTTTATTATTTTATTTTATTTTTTTAGTGCAAAGGACATAGTTGTCTTAAGATGACTCACGCAGTGTTCTGGTTTACATTTTTCTGAGCCTTCTCAGAAAAGATGTTGCAAGCTCCAAAATCTCTCCCAGTCATCTGATTCTTATGCCATGGAAAGGGGAAGTCTTCACATTCTTTCAGGGAGGTTTGTAAAGTCCAAAATCCAAGTTAGATATCTTTTCTCAAATGGAAGCAAATTTTATTGACTTAGCAAAGTTTCATTTACAAATTTATTCTACATTAGGCCTCAAGGAGTCAAGAATGCTATATAATAAAGAGGTAATATGCAAATTGACCATCACACCCTCACATAAGATGGCCACCCCTATGTGGTCACAAGATGGCCACCCCCATGTGGTCACAAGGTGGCCACCACAAGATGGCTGGCAGGGGAGGACAGTTGTTGCCAATCAGGCCATCAGGGAAGGGCAGTTAGGGGTGACCAGGCCAGCAGGGGAGGGCAATTGGGGGCAATCAGGCGGGCAGGGGAACAGTTAGGCGTTGATCAGGCTGGCAGGGGAGTGGTTAGGGGGTGATCAGGCTAGCAGGCAGAAGTGGTTAGGGGCAATCAGGCAGACAGGCAGGCAAGCGGTTGGGAACCAACAGTCCCAGATTGTGAGAGGGAAGTCCCATAGGGATCGGGCCTAAACCGGCAGTCAGACATCCCCTGAGGGGTCCCAGATTGGAGAGGGTGCAGGCTGGGCTGAATTTCATGCATCGGACCTCTAGTATCCAATAACTTTAGATCCTCATTTGCTTCCAAATGTATTTTCTTATTTCTCTGCTCAAGCTTCTAATGAAGGAAGCAGCCTGTCCCTAAAAACTAGAACCAGCTAGGTTTAGATGGGGAGCTGTCCAGGTAACCCTTTGCATATGTGTTGAGCTTTAATTTGTGACCCCTACCTTAGGCTAACATTCATTGTGTATGTCTTCTGATTAATGTTGTGCTTGTGGTCAGAAGGGTCCCAGGGAACCTAATGAATGAGAAGACTATACATTCTAGTTGTCCTATACCCACTTGTTCCCTCTATATAAGATCTTTGCCCTTACTAGTACTAGAACTTAAACCCAATAGCTTAATGCAATCTAGACTTATTTTTTAAGCTATGCCTTAGTTTGGAAAGATTTAGAACTGGACATATCTTTTGGCAGCCACACAGATATATAAGAGCATCTCTGAAGCTATTATGAGATTTCTCAGATGAGATTCATCACCGTCACATCGAAGGAACCCTGGCTTGAAGCCAGGCAGCCTGGGCTAGACCCAGGTTCTAGTATTTGCGTCTGTGTAAGTTATGACCTCTGAGCCTTGGTTTTCCCTCAGGAAAAGTGAAGTCACACTGTATCCTATACTCAGGGTTATTGTAAATTTTGGAGTTAATACAGGTAAAAGGCTAATAGTGTTTGGCCCCCAAAGACATCTTGAGTAAAAAGAGCTTTGGCCTGGCCAACATGGCTCAGTGATTGAGCATAGACCTGTGACCCGGGAGGTCACCGTTCGATTCCCAGTCAGGGCACATACCCAGATTGGGGGCTCAATCCCCAGTGTGGGGCCTGCAGGAGGCAGCCAGTTAGTGGTTCTCTCTCATCATTGATGTTTCTATCTCTCCCTCTCTCTCCCTTCCTCTCTGAAATCAATAAAAGTAAATAAATTTTTTAAAAAAGAAAGAAAGAAAAGAGCTTTGAACTCTCTACTCTGTATGACATCCAAGTGCAGATAATTCTCTATGGCTCCCTACTATCCAGGTGTCTTTGAGCAAAACTAACAACTAAATCTCCAAATGAAATAACTCAGATAACACTACTATACATAGATTTATGTATTTGTTTATGTATTTGCTTTCAAAGACTATTAAGACTACAAGGACTATTTAAAAACTTATGGGAGCCCTAGCCAGTTTGGTGCAGTGGATAGACCATTGGCCTGTGGACCAAAGGGTTCCAGGTTCGATTCCGGTTAAGGGCATGTACCTCGGTTGCAGGCTCCTCCCTGTCCCGGCATCTCTCTTCTCTGTCTTTCTCTCTAAAAATCAATGGAAAAATATCCTCGGGTGAGGATTTAACAGATAAAGTAAAATAAAATAATAAAATAAAATGGAAGGCAGCTATGCTCACCACTATACCACCAACGCCGCACTAATAAAATAAAATGAAATAAAATAAAATAAAATAATAAAATATAATAAAATAAATTAAATAAATAAAATAATAAAATAAAATATAAAAACTCATGGGGGGAGAGATTAAGTGCTGACCTTCAGAAGAACCTGTTGACATTCATGAAGCAAGCAAGTGGCAGTTGAAGCTCATTGAGCAAAAACTTAAAACTTACTTTTTATCCTTTAAGTATCTAACAAACAGTACATATTCCCATGTGATGGACTTGATCCTTGAATTTAAAGGCTCAAATAAATGGGTGCTGTTGGCATAGAATTAAGAGGGCTCCGGGGGGCGGGGGGGACAACAGCCCATGGGTGGTCTTAACAGGATTACAGACTGTGAGGAGCTTTTCTTTGTCTTCGGTCTTCAGTTCAGGTAGAAAGTTCACCTGTCTCTAGCTCTCTCGGCAGCTGTGTAGAAACTTTTCTTTTCTCCTTTTCTTTCTTTTTTCTCTAAAATATTTTTATTGATTTCAGAGAGGAAGGGAGAGGGAGAGACAGAAACATCATTGATTGGCTGCCTCCTGCACGCCCCCCACTGGGGATCGAGCCTGAAACCCAGGCATGTGCCCTTGACCAGAATCGAACCCAGAACCCCCCAGTCCACAGGCCAATGCTCTATCCACTGAGCCAAACCAGCCAGGGCTGTGTAGAAACTTTGACTCTTGGGGGGTGAAAGAACCTTTTGAAACATTAGTTCACTTTCATTAGTGCTTACAATGACTTGCGTTTTTCTGTTTTACCTACTGTGATACATGGGGAAGCTTTATGAGAGCATATACCACAACCGACTTGAGGAGAGTAACACTAAATAATAGCATAAAAGTATTCATACACAATGAATTAATTGTACAACAGACACCCCATAAATTAATCCTCTTCCTGATACGTGTAAGGATTAATATCAAAGTGGGTGTATTTTAAAGTATAGTGCTTATAGATAGCACTGGAGGTTATATGCAAAAACCTAACATTTTAAAAAATATTAATATGAATAAGATAAAATATATAGCTCTACTCTTGACACTGCCTTTACAGTTAAAGAATTTTTTGAGGACCAGGATTTATAATACCCAGTTTCACATGCCAGTTGTCATTTTCTCAAGCTCAGCTTTCCATTTATTTCTATTTTGCTATGAAGCCTTATTTTTCTGTGTGTGACACATTTTGATCCCTATCTTTCATACTAGATTTTGATGCCAAAGATCCAACACAAGCTACTTAGCTAGATAATCATTAAATGTTACCAGACACCAAATGACTAAAGAAAAATCTGGTAAACACCTTCTTTCCATTTTGGAAACCTCAAAGGAAACACTCCTACCCACTCCCCTGCTTTCAGAGTTCAGTCTAATAGAGGAGAAAGAACAAAATGAGTCTGAAGAGCTGCACTGGAGAATCGCTAGTAGTAGGCCTATTATGGCATAAAGTCTGGGTCTGGTGTGTTATAATCTCATTACGCCTCTAAACTCTGCCTACAGGTGTCTGCAGTCGGTTATGTTCTTTTGAGACCTCGCCATCAGGGAGCACCTGCTGTCACTAAGTGTCTGCTGGTGCTGGAGTTTGCTGTCTGCCTTCTTGCCATGTCTAACGAAGTAGAAACCAGTACATCGAATGGTCAGCCTGACCAACAGGCCGCACCCAAAGCACCGTCCAAGAAGGAGAAGAAGAAAGGTATGGAGAAATCCTCTTGAGGCCAATAAGGGGAGCTTGCGGTGGTCACCTCTGAAGAAATGAGAAGTTCAGGGTAAAGTAAGAGCTGGCCCTGGCCTGGCTTCAACCTGAGCCTGGTCTCCAGGCCTGAGCAGGAGAGTTGGAGTTTGGTTCACTCCATATACAAGACGTGTCTCTGAATCCTGTGATTGCCCGGGTCTTGCCAGGCAGCTCTCATGACATCTTGTTCAGTTGATAAATCAACTATCAGTTATTACATGGTTATCTTTCAGTAACCTGTTTACCATGTTGCTGTTTTTACAAACGAAAGATCTTTGTTTTATAGAGCCTTGCTCTTCACCTGAAGTACCACTACAAAGTACCGGAGTCTTAATCATTCATAGCTTGAAAATAGTTCGTGACTGGCTTGCTTTTCACTTCTACACTTTAGCAATAGAAATGAGACCACACAGGCCTTTTAAGAGAAGCAAAAGAAGTTATAAAGATGGGATAATTATCTTAAGTGATTTTCAAAGAAATTTACTCATAATTCCCTTTTGCCTTTTTGACAGTTCAAAATGCTGGTAAATTGTGTGGTGCCTTTTTTTTTTTTATTAAAAAACAAGCATTATTCTCCTTATATTCTTTTTTAAAAGTATTTTTAAATTATAATGAATATCTCCAAGTCCCACCTCACGTAGTTCCATAAGTTTCCCATAATTCAGTCCATTTTGCACCTTGAAGAGTTTATTTTCTCTCCATCCCAACATCTTATATAGTATTAAAGAGCACGGATTTACTCAAAGGACGTGAGAATAAGGATAGAATATTGCACAGTTAGTCAATCACAGTATAACCAAGATTTATACTACGATTTGTAGATTCCAGAACATATTTGATGATACATGGGCTGATATTTAAATACATTTATAAACTTTATCCTATATTTCTTTCTTTTCTCAGGCTCGGAAAAGACGGATGAGTATCTTTTGGCCAGATTCAAAGGTGATGGTGTAAAATACAAGGCCAAGCTAATTGGCATTGATGATGTGCCAGATGCGAGAGGAGATAAAATGAGCCAAGATTCTATGATGAAACTAAAGGTAAAAGGCAGAAAGCATGCTTTGTCTCTGTCTTCGGCAAATGGCCAACAGAAGGAATTAGATGAGAAGTTTGTATTTACCTGTATCTCAGTTATTCAAGAGGAAAACTTTCCAATCACATAATCGATCCAGTGGCACCTCATTTGATGAGTAGCCATGAGATTGTTTGCATATTCTGAGTGTTGTTCTAGTGTAGCAGGACTCAACATGCCTTTTGCTTTGTTTCAACCGTGGAAGTCTTCAGGTAAAAGTCAGGACTGTACCTGGAAACTTGTGTTCCTTAGTATTAGCCCTTTGATTTTTCTGAATTTTTGAATTCCAGCACTGTCACTATGTGAAACTAATCAGATAATACTTGCTAAGTAAGACAAGGTCTAGAAGTAACACCTTTGAAAAACTTCTAGTACATTCTCCTTGTCTTTACCAGTGACTGTTCTGAGGTCAAAAGAATTAAAATGACTTGTCCAAGTTCACAGAACTAACTAGTGATGTCCTGGCTCACCACCTTCTATTCCTTCTTGCTCTCTCTTATGCAGGGTGCTTAGGCCTTTCACAGATGGTAAATTAAGCTGAAAACAAAGCTGCCTTTAAAGTTTCAGTATCATAGGGTAGTTTTAACTAAGTTTTCTTGTTTTCCCAACCTCATCAGGGCATGGCGGCGGCTGGTCGGTCTCAGGGACAACACAAACAAAGGATCTGGGTCAACATTTCCCTTTCTGGGATCAAAATAATTGATGAGAAAACTGGGGTAAGAATCCACTTTCACTGACACTTTTCTGACCACCTGAATTTGACAAAAAATTTGCAACTAACTTTTAGCTCCCCTTTTTCCTTTTCAAAATTCTGTAGGAAAAAAAAAATAGTACATATCACTTCTTCAGATGTAAAGGCGGAAAACAGGGTAGCAGTGAGGAGTTAAGTCACTTTATCTTGAAATTTATTTCCTCTAACAGATGTGTCAAGTCTATAAACAGGGGTATGCAATAATGTCACAGGTATTCTTTTCGATCCCAGGTACAAGAACTAGATTAATCCTAATCTTTGGTTTGTGATGCTATTGTAGGTCTATGTATGGGTCTCATTTTAATATAAAGGGGTAGAGAAAAGTAAGTTTTCAGTTGTATTGTATTAATAATAAATAACTAATAAATAATAATACAAGAATAGCCTGGCCAGTGTGGCTCAGTGGTTGATTCAGCCTCTGCATGTATCTGATGCTTAGCTGTGCTAGCCTACAGATAGATGCTAATTTTCCCAGTAAATCATGTTTTTGTCCTTTTTCAGGTGATAGAGCACGAACATCCAGTAAATAAGATCTCTTTCATCGCCCGTGATGTGACAGACAACCGGGCATTTGGTTATGTGTGTGGAGCAGAAGGCCAGCATCAGTTTTTTGCCATAAAAACAGGGCAGCAGGTAAGTGCTAAGCCCTGAGGTATACTGGAGGGGACTTGTCCTCAGTGGAACGTAGGAGTGTCTATCACTCAACTGGCGAGCTTTCTAGAAACAACTGGAGATAGGGGGAGGAATAAACAATGATTCAAAGGATAACTATGTTTATTGGTCTAAGGCAGCGGTTCTCAACCTGTGGGTCGTGACCCCTTTGGGAGTCGAAGGACCCTTTCACAGGGGTCGCCTAAGACCATCGGAAAACACATATATAATTACATATTGTTTTTGTGATTAATCACTATGCTTTATTTAATTATGTTCAATTTGTAACAATGAAAATACATCCTGCATATCAGATATTTACATTACGATCATAACAGTAGCAAAATTACAGTTATGAAGTAGCAACGAAAATAATTTTATGGCTGGGGGTCACCACAACATGAGGAACTGTATTAAAGGGTCGCGGCATTAGGAAGGTTGAGAACCACTGGTCTAAGGAATCATTTTTAAAATGTCATTGATTCCCATGGAGCATGTGGTACAAGGATTGTTGGAATGAGTATTCTTATAAGGTGAATGTTGATCATAGAATAATAGCAAATTATTCCTGGAAATGCAGAAGGACTTGGAAAATTATCATGGTGTTTCTTGTTTGGTCTAAGTACTTATTAACCCTGCTGTCTTTTATGATTCTGGGGGTGGGCTGGGAGTAGGGGTTATTCCCCATAAAACAGGGGAGCGTAGTAAGGAGCTTTAAGAGAAAGGGGAGTACTAATTCAGAACTGATGGGAGACAAAGAGAAGAAAATAGTAAGATTAAAATACTGATAAAGATGTTTTCTCTTGCTTCAGGCTGAGCCATTAGTCATTGATCTTAAAGACCTTTTTCAAGTTATCTATAACGTGAAGAAAAAGGAAGAAGAAAAGAAAAAGGCAAGTGCTACCCAATACAGGTTCTATTAAACTTAAGACAGTGTTAGGACCATATGTGAACATTATGTAAACATATGGCCTGTCTGGAGAATTGGCTTCTATGTAGATCTCCAAAGAATGGGAAGGAGAGAAATGTATTGTCTTTTCTTCCCAAATAGCCGGGCAATGGATGGGAGTGATCATCAAGCACTTATTTCTAGTCCCTGACTCTGGTCTTTTCTCCCTACAAGCTTCACATCTATTCTAAAGACTAAAAAGGATTACCAAGTTTAAGTCCAGTCACTCTGTTCAAATCCAGTATTGATGTGAAAAGGGGAGGGGACTGTAGAGCAGAGATAATATGCAAGAGTCTCTTTTGCTTATGGCTGTGAACTGATAGGTATATTTGTTCTTTTATTTAACTCATTATAACTACAATTACTAGATCACTGAATTTATGTCTTTCTTTTTAGATGGAAGAAGCTAACAACGCAGTCGAGGTAAAACTGCATCTTCTCTCCTCATGAATTGTGATGTCTGACGTGATTAAGCCCTTGTTTGCTCCCTGCCCAGCATGCTCCCCTTCTGGCTTATTGCTCTGTGTTCATGACCCTTCTGGTCATGGGAGACGTATGGTTGAATGATCAGGACCAAAATTATAACTGCTGAGCAAGCCAACACACTAGGAAATTAAAACTTACCAACTAAGCCCTTAAATATTTGCCATCTTTTCAGAATGGAAGCGAGGCCCTAATGACTCTTGATGACCAAGCTAACAAACTGAAATTGGTATGTATGTGACTTTTTATGATTCTTGCTTACCGGAATGTGGGTTTTACTTCTTGTAGATGTTTCAAAGACAGAATCTGTATGAAAATCCAATTGCAACAACTATTTCCCTAACATTGATGTTAATATAAAAAGCAATCTTTTTAGTAAAGACATCTAAATCTAATCCAAATACTTTTTTTTATTGATTTCAGAGAGGAAGGGAGAGGGGGAGAGATAGAAACATCAATGATGAGAGAGAATCATTGATTGGCTGCCCTCTGCATGCCCCCCGCCCCCACTGGGGATCAAGCCTGAAACCCAGGCATGTGCCCTTGACTGGAATCAAACCTGGAACCCTTCTGAGCCAAACCAGCTGGGGCTCGAATACTTTTTAAAGAGTCTGGACCAGATGGATTTGTTTGGGTACCTGTCTACACTTCCTGACCTAAATCGCCCAATATCAAATCTGTATTAGTTAAATGAAAATTCAATTGTGACTGGCAATTTTCCTAAACGTCTGTTTAGGAAACAATTACAACAATATTCAAAATAATCTTTTTGAGTAGACACATCTGAATCTAATCCAAATACTTTTTTAAGGCTGTTGACCGGATGGATTTGTTTGGGGACATGTCTACACCTCCTGACCTAAATAGTCCAACAGTAAGTGTCTGTTTTTAAATTTGCAATGTAATGGAAATGACATCTATGACTCAAATTGGCAATTAACCAGAAGTCTTGAGCATCTTTATTGAAACTTGGAACTGCAGCTGAATTTTTTCTGCATAAAGTGTAAATGGCTGCTAGAACAAATTTGCATCTTAAGTCACCATGGGAACCTATCAGGACCAATTCAGATACTTAATATTGCTTGGAGGGTAAATCTGAGCCATAGGTCAGGCAATGTAGTCCTTCTTAATATTACTTAAGATCAGAAGGAGGAGTTGAATAATAATTCTTGGCATAAGCCTACTTGAAGGAAGTATGTTTGTTAAATGATTAATTGTAAAACCTCCTGGCCGCTCCATTTATTTTTTATTCTTTCTTTGTGAGTTAGCATAAGCTTGGTGTGAAGCAAGATTTAAAACAGAGGCTCCGCTATGTTTAACCAAGACTTGTCCTTGTTTCAAAAAAAAAAAGTTTCTCATTTTTTACAGGATATTAGAGTGTATCACATCTTCTTAATATCAAGACTAGAATGACATTTTCCTTTACAGATAAGAAAATGGTAATTCTGAAAAAAAAAAAAATTACCAAAGAAAGAGGTTCAAATTCAGCACCAAAACCCAAGTCTCAGACCTTCCAAAACAGGCCTCCAGTGAAATTACCCATGTAATTTTGAATGGCTTTTTACAACTTCTGTTATTTATTTAATAGTTTCTTGAATACCTGCTACTTGCCGGGCGCAGCAATGAGATGCACAATGTCAATGACATCGTTAAAGCCAATTAAAAAGGAGGAGACCAACATTAAAACCAATTAAAAAGCTTATTAGTGGATGTTAATTATAAGGTATTTACCTGGCTTTAGAGGGTCAGCTAATAGTGCTGAGTGAATTTCCAGGCTTGAACATAAAAGACGAGAAGGCAACAACCAGACAAAAGAGCATCATTGTCTGTGTAGGGGTCTCTGACATCAGGGAATTTTTAAGCAAGCCTGTCTGGCCAAGAAGGTCACTGGAAATAAAACCACAGCAGACCAGAGACTGGGTGAGTCTCACTGGCCCAGAGTATTGCAGAGAATGCCAGGTCCATGAAACTTCACATAAAATGCTGACGCTCTAGAGGTGAGAAGGAGCAGGGGCTGGGTACCCACTTCAAGCCTCCAAGCCTATGAGATTCACACTGTATAACTGCATTATAGAAGCCTCAAAGCTGACATAGAGAGGCCTGTTCACGGTTCTGTAGAGCAGTGTGTCCTAACTCACTTGCCTGTAGAACCTGTCATTCTTCACAATGTCTGTTACCGTTCGAAGGAGAAACTTTTTGACGTACAGGATTAGACAGCCCTGGAAGGTCCATCCCAGCTCTGAAATCGATGTCTGAAAAGCAAGCTTTCCAAGCATAACTGACAGTCAAACAAGTTTCTTGAAAGAGATCAGAACACTCAAGCTCTGAAGCAGTTTCCATGGGGTAGGCAAGGAAGCGCTGACGGCTACGTCTGCTTCTGTAGCCTTCTGGAAAGTTAGGAAAAAGGAAATAGAAAGCAGCTTGAGTAAGCCTGAGTCTCGTTGATATCAGACTTCATACATTTTATGAATTTTTGGTGTATCAATAACTAATAATACATTAAAGAAATAAATACCATCAAAGTAGATGGTATCTAATAAGTAAGAGAATTCCAACAGCATTAATTATGAGCTGGTCAGACTTTGCCAGCGCATTCTTGCAGATTGACTTTATAGTCATAGATCACAAAATAAACTTATCTTTACTTGATAAAACCAGCATGTTTTAAAAGATTCAAATCTTACAGTAGTTGCTTTGGAAGAGATGAAGAGAGGAGAAATCTCAATTATCTAAACTTTATTAGTCAGGCCCTGTCCCTCCTCCAACATTTATACAGAATAGTTTTATGCATTACAAATAAAGCTCATGTTGCAAACTAAGTAGCATACCTTAGAATGTAATTTTTATTGGAAAACCACTTGAACAATATTCATCCATACTGATCTAAAAAAAGAAAAGAGAAAAAGAAAAAAAGACATGCTCTAATGAAAATGTTGATCATTCAGAGTTATTATGAGAAGAACATAAGGTATGGTCCTCCTTCAAGGAGGTTAAAATTGGTTCAGGGATGGGCCAGGGCACAGTGTTGTGGAAGTAAGATGCGGAAAGGGCACAGGTAAAGCTGAAATAGAGGATCCATGGGAAGAGGCTTTATAAATTATCTGAACTTGAACTGAGTCTTTTAAATGTGTAGGAAAAATGAGTAGTTAGGCTAAATGTAAACTGGATTCCCCCCTGCTTGTGGGTCACTTTGAAAGTCTGGCTAACGAAGCTTATTTTAATACAGAAAGACACAGAAAGCTTCGGGTAGGGAAGTCCAGGATTTGGCAGCAAGATGTTTAGGTGGCATAGCTGCCTAGAGGAGAGCTAGGCTATGGAGTTCAGTAGTTCAGACTTCGTCTCTGGACAGACACCACTTGGTTGCCTGTTGCCCCTCTTGCTGGAGCTCCCTAAGAGCAGGGACTGCATTTCACACTCCTATCACTAGTGCTTGCCTCTCGGGTCCTCCAACGATGGCCGTGTGGATGCAGTATTGACATCCAAGGAAAAATGTATGAAGCTCTGACCTAGGAGGTGGATGAGGAGTCTTGCATCTCTTAATTATAGTCTATGAACTAGACTCAATCTTTTTTTTAAAATTTATCTTTATTGTTGAAAGTATTGCGTATGTCCCCTTTATTTCCCATTGACCCCCTCCATCCTGCTCCCTCCCCACCCCCAGGCCTTCACCAAACTATTGTCTATGTCCATGATTATGCATATATGCATATAAAGTCTTTGGCTAATCTCTCCCCAACCACCACCCCAACCCCACCATCCCTCTGAGCTTCAACAGTCTGCTCCATGCTTCTACGTCTTTGGATCTATTTTCTTCTTCAGTTTATTTTGTTCATTAGATTCCACATATGAGTGAGATGATGTGATAGACTCTTAATCTGGAATTAGCAACAGACCTGAGCTGAGGAAGCCTTATACATTTCACTTATAGGCCGACTATTCCGAAGCCTAACACTGGGGCTCCTGTTTGGTGTCCTAAGAACTTCTTCTGAAGTATTTGCAAAGGAGAACTCTGCCAGCTGTGAATACCCAACTGTTCTAACCAGAGGTGGCTCCTAATAAATGAATAAATACTGAAATCACAAGCTTTTGTGTAGTACCTTTTTCTACCTTTTGATTGTTAAAGATCCCTACGTTAAGAAATCTTCCATTCTGTTTCTTTGATTAAAAGAAAATTTTAATGACAAGCTCTTTCTTCTGACAAATCCTTCTGGTTATAAAAAGAAAAGCTGGTTTTTAAGCGTTGTGGTTTATACCTAACAGTAAAGGAAGCCAAAAGATAGAGTACTAATTAGGTCTGATCTGGGGTCTAAACGTTCTAGAAATGTATTCTTTTCCCGTAAAATAAAAGAGGTCTGCCTCCTCAGGCCTCCTTTTTCTTTTTGAGAATTTTATATTCCCTCATGGTTGTTTTTGTCTCAAGGATCATAATGTTTAGTGATCTGTTCAGGGCAATGCTAGAATTCCAACTTCCATTTCAAAGGTGTTTATGGTTTATATTCCTCTGTGGTCAGCATACTGAAGTATTAATGGACCAAAGTCAGTTAGGAGGAAGGTCTGTCAGTGTGACAGCTCAGTCCCAGGGTGGCTTCTAACTAGTGATAAAGACATGGCAGATTGATCCAATTGGCTGCTCTTATGCTAAGAAGGATGTCTTACCTAACAACTGAGAACCCAGATAATTAACATGCCAGAAACTGATAAGGAATAAAATTTGTAGAGTTATGAATTTGGTATATCTTTCAAATTAACTCTGAAAACCACATCTCCACCTTATACATAAATCAGACTAGATTATATATAAATTAAAGACAAAGATTAGTTGAATTTATCCTCTAGATAGATGAGATTACTTTTATAACACAGGCAACTCTTAAGCTATATTTTTTTAAAATATATTTTTATTTCAGAGGAAGGGAGAGGAAGAGATAGATAGAAACATCAATAATGAGAGGAAATTATTGATTGGCTGCCTCATGTGTGTTGGACCGAGCCTGCAACCCAGGCATGTGCCCTTGACTGGAATCAAACCTGAGACCCTTCGGTCCGCAGGCCAACAACGCTCTATCCTAACCAGCTAAGGCTTAAGCTATATTATTTTTTCAAAATGCACAAATACAAGAGGTTAATGTGATGTTGTTAGATTATATCCCTATCTTAGGTTATCACTTTCTTAGAAAGACATAGACAAAAGGATGTGTCCAGAGGAGAGGCTAAGGGGATCAGGATGAGAGATCTAACTTGGCTAGCACTTTCAAAAAGATTCTGAAATATTTTAAAAAGCATACCTGACATCTCCCTATAATTGGCCCATGGAAAGACCAATTATAGGGAGATATATTTGACATCAAACTTCATCACATCCAGAACTGCAAAATATGAATGTATTAGCCAGTAAATGCGCTTATTTGGAGAGGTGATGTTACATGACTGGGGTACAGTGATAGGAAAGCAAAGATATCAGGCAGGAAGCTGGGCAGGGCTTCTGAAATCTAGCCTTACCTTCAAGCTCTATATACTTAATCACTTGGAGTGACTCACAGTGAATTCCTTTAAGACTTTCAAAGACATGAATTGAAACAACCATGATCATGAACTCAGCCAGTCTGTAAGGGTGATCGGTGACATGAATGATAGAAACAACAGTAAGATTTCATTTAATTAAGGGATCAATGAAGTTGAGACATAAATAAACAGGCACAGGTGGGGAAGGGGGAGGGAGGACCTATTCAACTGGAAAACGCACTCACCGAGGGGATGGGAGGAGATCATGGTCAACCTGTTTGTCAAAAACCAAAATCTCACGGGAATTATGATAACCCTGGTCATTTTATGTAGCTTTTTCATTTGAAGTCACAACATGGACTAACACTTTCTTTCTCTCTTTTTTTTTCTCTTTCCAAATGTGATAGGAAAGCAAAGATATCCTGTTAGTGGATCTAAACTCTGAAATCAACACCAATCAGAATTCTTTAAGAGAAAATTCATTCTTAACAAACGGCATCACCTCCTCCTCTCTTCCTCGACCAAAGCCTCAGGCGTCTTTCTTGCCCGAAAATGCCTTTCCTGCCAACCTCCATTTCTTTCCCACCCCCAATCCTGACCCTTTCCGTGATGATCCTTTTGCACAGCAGGACCAATCGCCACCCTCTTCATTTGATTCTCTCAAATCTCCAGATCAGAAGACAGAGAATTTGAGTGGCTTGTCCACTCCGCTGAGTAATGGGCCCCTGAATGGGGACGTTGATTACTTTGGTCAGCAGTTTGACCAGATCTCTAACCGGACTGGCAAGCAGGAAGCTCAGGCAGACCCGTGGCCCCTCTCCAGCCCGCAAACCCAGCCAGCAGTGAGAACTCAGAATGGGGTCTCTGAAAGAGAACAGAACGGCTTCCATGTCAAATCCTCCCCGAACCCTTTTGTGGGAAGCCCTCCCAAAGGACTGCCCGTGCCAAATGGCCTAAAGCAGGACTTGGAAAGCTCTGTCCAGTCCTCCACACATGACTCCATAGCCATTATCCCACCTCCACAGAGTACCAAACCAGGAAGAGGCAGAAGGACTGCCAAGGTGAATTGTCTTCTCCGCATGTCCGTGGGCAGAATGCATGTTCGCTGTCCCAGGGTGGTCTGAGGCCAGCTGTCTTTCCTGCTGCTATTGTAGTTTCCTGTGTGGCTGTACTCTCTATAGAAGGTGGGGTGAACTTGTCATCCCCCAGGAATACCTTCCTCTAATCGCCACCCTTTCAAAGCTTCGCGCTCAGCAGCGTTGTCGCGGCCTGCTTTCCCTTTGCATGTCTTGTCTCTTATCATTAACTAAACACAAGTTGTTTTTTTTTCCGTTTTTAATGCTGCTATGCTTCTGTACCTCTGGTAAGTTTGATGGTCACGTTCTGGGAGCGGAGGGCAAGGGTTCTTGTGATTCCCCTTATCCATACCTTCCCCACACTACCGCGTGCCCCGCTCACCCCCCTCAGGTTGTGCTAATGACCAAGGTGGGGGCGTCAAATTCTTGAGTTTGTCTCCTCTATTAAAAGTTGACTGAGTAATCCATTGTCTTAAAAGAAACCTGTGTTTACTGTTACCACTTCATTCAAAAGCAATTTAAAATGTGGTTTCTGTTAAGTATTATTTTTGAATCTCTTTGGAATATGTAGGCTGGCCTAATGATTAGACTAGTGTATCAAGGCCATGCAGACTGATTCAAACCCACTAGAATGATCAAAAACATTTAAGCTACTTATTTATAACCGTCCCTTTCCCAGCTTCAAGCTTTTAGTTGGCAAGGAGACCAGGCAGACACAAATGTGTAAATAAGTAAATTAGATTTCACTTTGAGAGTCCAAGACCTGGTCTCCTGCCCATTGCAGGGATCCTTGTCCTTTTGCTTTGGTTGGTTGGTTGGTTGGTTGGTTGGTGTTTTGTGGTAGTCCATCAGTATAGGAAGTGGTTTTTCTGTGTGGTTCCCGATTTGAGGTACAGAGTAGGAGACAGAAGGACACTGCATTTCTCTGTTGCTGAGTAACTCCTTTATGTCCCCCTCTACCCTGTCAGTCTCCAGCAAATGACTTGCTGACATCAGACATCTTTGCTCCTCCGGACTCAGAACCTCCAGGCCAGGCGTCACCTACGGGACAGTCTGCAACCCCACAGACCAACCCTCTGGATCTCTTCAAGACCAGTGTTTCTCCCCCTGTGGGACCCCTAGCAGGTCTAGGTAAGGGCCCGAGATCGAGTCAGGATTGACTCTGTTATTTTCACTCCCAGGACGATAGTGCCTAGAAGGAAGGCACTTCATATCCTTAGAAGTTTCAGGGGCATAAAACTAGAGCATCTTGGAGAGCCTTTCTCCCACTCTTCCTTCTGTACAGCCTCACCCCCATTTGGTACCCTTGGTTGTAAATGAAATTTGGCTTCTTGAATTGGAATGTGAGAAGAAATCCATTTTCAATATTGTACTTATTTGAACCAACTGCTCACTAAAGAAAATTATGAGGGGTTCTGAAACACAGCCCAGCCTCATTGGAGCTAAGATGACAGAGCCTTGTTTATCGTCTTTATTAGAAAAGTAAGAACGTGCATGTCTTCCTTGTAAGTTGCCATTTCTAGCTTGAAGCCCTCTTCCCTATTAAACAGCTGCCCCTCTTGGAAGGGACATATACCCTGCAAGGGATATAAGTAAAGTCTGAAGCAAGTGTAAGTCATAGAATGAAAGTCCTAGTTTCTGAGCCCAGCTCCACCCCTGGTATCTGGAGGGTGTGGACAGGCATACATCCTATCTGCCTCCGCATACTTAAGCCTTAGCAGCTCCTTGCCAATATTCTGGCGAGCTGAGTGTCTTAATAGAGTAAGAAGTAAATGCTGGAAATGTGATGTTGAAAAGAGCATAGAGATAAGGGAAGAGGTGGGGCTTTTTCAGATAGCTAGGATGTGCTGGTGCTGCCATTCATATATGTGTCACTAGCTCCTGTGAGCCACTGAGCCACTCTGTGGCAGGACACTGGGGAAGGCCACGTGCCTAAGGGCTGGCCCTGCTACCCTTTGTCCACAGCCTCAGTCATACAGTCTTCAGAAACCCCGACAACAGTCCTTGCTGTCTGGCTGGGGATTCTCTGTGTTTCTGCTTCTTGGCACCACAATGAGCTCCAAAGAGACTTTGTCCCAGAGGGAGCAGCGAGGGGCTCCCTTCCTCATTCTGTACAAGTTGATCAGGGATCTCTCTCTGCCTCCTGCAGAGTCAGTCATAGGACCCTTCTTTGTATTTTTCTCTGCTGTTTTCCTGCAAAGGAACATACTGTAGTTCTGTCATATTAACTGTTTCATCATATCGGGAGGATGGTAGCAGAAGGAAAGTCGTTACCCAGATGCCAAATGACTGAAATGCACATGGGGTGAGAAGCCAGCTTGTCCCAGCACCCTGCTTGCATTGGTACCATCAAGAGACCCTCCCCAAGCTCTTCATGTCTTTTGGGAGCTTCCCCCTTTCTCGTTGCTCCTTTCCCCGCACCCCCAAGTGGAGCTGGTTGATGTTTTTCCTTGCAGAAGGGTAGGGAGCTTGCAGGCAGTGTCTGTGGCCAGATCACATCACAGAGCTTTCTCGTCTGATATCATGCCCTGAAGAATTTTCACAGCCAATATTGAACAAGTCCGCCTGAAAATACAGCTGGGTCCTATAACTGTTCATTTATTCAGACGAAGGGAAGCTTTTTGGCGAGGAGCCCCTGTTGAGGCCTTGGGGTTTACAACTGCAGAATACTGATGATTCTTCCAAGTTTGGACATGGGACTCACACTGAGCTCCACAGTATAGCCCCTGTCCACTAGCAGGGATCCTCCCCAAACCCTGGAAGGTGGTAGGTCTGGCTTCCGCTGGCCCCAGCTGGGGGACTCTCTCCTCTGGAGAATGGGGGGTGGGGAGAAGGAGTTGTAAAAGGCTGAGCCTTCCGTTTTGACTTGCTACCCTGTGTTTTCATCTAGAATCAGAATGTAATAAAATGAACTTTTTTACTGAAACTTTTTTTTTTTTTACCTCTTGCCTCTACTTTTTCCAGCGGGGCCTTAAATATCTTGGAAACACAACACATGGAATCTTGTAGATGGGAATGAAGGCTGGCATAAGTATATATTGGGAAAGTCTTTATTTCCTGGCAAATTTAATATTTTTTCTCTTTTACCACTGCTCCCACTAATACCACCTATGTCTAAAGCCACACACTTTCCTAAGGGAAGGCAAGCCGTTCAACATGAAAGATGATAAAATTCTACCCAATTTGCACATCCATCTGGTGTAAATTATTACTGAGTGACTCTGGGTTTCAGTAATAGAGTTTAAATAAATTTGTTTGAAAATGCTAGAGAGAACTTTGTTCAAACTCAGCTCCCTTTTAGAAGCCTACAATCTAAGATAACTTTCCCTTCGATTCATTGTGAAGGGAATATGTATATACTTTTAGTGTAAATGAAGCCTGAAGCTGTATTTGTACAATAAATATTTGCATTAACATTCAATTAAAAAAAATAGTCCTGGTTCTTGATGCCAAAGAGGCAGAACAGGAGGATAGGCTGCTGGGTTTGGAGCCAGTATGCCTGAGTTTTCGTCTCTACTGTCGCAAACTGTGACTTTCCCAACTTTAATCATTAATATTCTTGTACCCAGTTCCCTCCACTCAGAAATAAGGGTATTAACTTAGTAAGATGGCCTTTCCCGAAACCCACTGCTCTCCATGAGCACACTGTATGCTCGTGGCTAGATGGCTGTTCATGGTGGTAGAGTTGAGTCAAGGAACACCAACCTCCAATACTAGAAAAGTTCAAGACAGAATACCCTGCTCCATCAGCCCCCGAATACCATTTTCAAAACATTTCTCACTTTGGAAACAGAAACATCCCTAACCCAAGTTCGAGGGCCTTCGTTGAGTTAGAGCACTTTCATGATGAAAGAATGCCCTGCCCCAAAGCTCAGAGCAAGTAGGTTTTGAGAGCCGAGCATCATTCGTAAATAGGGCTTCTAGTGGTGACAGTTTAACTGGGTCATTAATACACTTTGGAAGAAGCAGGAGAGACAATGCCCTCCATCTCTGAGCAAGATGGGGGGAACGAGCTTCTCAGGAAGAGGGGCAAACGTTGGAGAGACTTGGACTTCAGTGGTTTCACTTACTCCTAATCAACATGACAGGGATGCAGGCCACGGGGCGTTCCCCATAGAGATCAGACCCCCGGGCACAGGCCATTGGTTACCTTGGAAGGTGTTTTTGCTCCACGGGGTCTTCTCCCTCCCCTCCTCTTTTGCATACCATGTTCTAACTTCTGGCCTAGTTCAGTGAGTGACACATGGCAGGAAGCACTTTTATTTGAAACAGCTCTCCCAGGATAACCGGCCTTTCCTCCATGTTCGTATAGAAAAACCTGAAAGTATCTCGGCCCCAACCAAATTTTATCATCCTTTTGTATAGCTGTATCAACCTTGGCAGCATTTAAAAGCAAGGCAACTCTGAAATGGTTTCTTTAGGGCGTAAGCATGTTGAGGCCTAAGGCACATGTGTGATAGCCGCTTTCCAGAAGACTCAGACAGTAGCCAGCTGCCAAATGGAAAGATGGAATCAGTGACTCAGAGTGCTCCATGGTTTATCTTAATTAGCTACTTCATAATCAGCATGGTTTGTATACATCAGGGGTCCTCAAACTTTTTAAACAGGGGGCCAGTTCACTGTCCCTCAGACCGTTGGAGGGCCGGACTATAGTTTAAAAAAAAACTATGAACAAATTCCTATGCACACTGCACATATCTTATTTTGAAGTAAAAAAACAAAACGGGAACAAATACAATATTTGTATTTGCATGTGGCCCGTGGGCCGTAGTTTGAGGACCCCTGGTATACATAAATGTATCCATAGTGTTGATAGGCTCGGTTCTAGCTGTTTAAAATACACCAGTGTATGTACGAGGAGGGCCCATTTTTTCATGACTCAGTACTTACGGTCTGTGTTACCCTTCCAATGAAGCAAAAAGATGTGGTAGAAAGAAAGGGCATCAAAATGCCACCTGCATTTGGATACCAGCTACACTGTATCGGCTCATTAATCTCCTGGTGACCTGAGCCTTCATTTCCATGTCAGCCTCAAGGCTGAATGAAGGCATTGGCCATGTAGATGCTTTATAAATGCTTCCGGGAAAGTTGTTTTCTGAAACTCAGAAATCCTCTTTGAGCTTGTCTCCTGATAAGTTCTTTCTCTCACTTCCTTCAGGTGGTGTAGCAATCACACCGCCTCACACAGGACCATGGAGCCCGCCATCTCTCGTGTTCAATCAGTCCCCTTCCATGGTCCCAGGAGCCATGATGGGTGCTCAGCCTGCCGGATTCAGTCAACCAATGGTTTTTAGCACAAGCCCGGCGGTTGCAGGTTGGAACCAGCCTTCATCCTTTGCAGCCTCAACTCCCCCTCCAGCCCCTGTTGTTTGGGGCCCATCAGCATCTGTGTCACCCAATACTTGGTCATCAGCCAGCCCTCTGGGGAATCCTTTTCAGAGCAATATTTTTCCAGTGCCTGCTGTGTCTACCCAGTCCCCTCCTATGCTCTCCTCTCTCCTGGTCACTCCTCCTCAACCACCTCCCAGAACTGGCCCTCCAAAGGACATCTCCACCAATGCCTTCGTTGCTTTGGACCCCCTTGGGGATCAAGAAGTCAAAGAAGTGAAAGAAATGTTTAAGGACTTACAACTGCGGCAGCCTCCGGTCCCCGCGAGGAAGGGAGACCAGCCTTCCTCGGGGACTTCAAGTGCCTTCTCCAGTTATTTCAACAGCAAGGTGGGCATTCCTCAGGAGAATGCAGACCACGATGACTTCGATGCTAACCAACTATTGAAAAAGATCAATGGTAAGCTACCCACTTCTCTGTCTACTATGCCAACAAGTACTAGTATTTCCCCTTCATATGGGCCCACAGAATCCATCAGAAGAAAACTCTCCCATCCACCAATAGCCTAATTGGTTGTTATGGAGACAACTTAACCATTTACCTTATGAAGCTAACTATTCACCTCACTAGAAAAGGTCTGGCCCTGTGCTGCCCTCTTGTGACAAATTTTGAGGGCTGCCAAGAGCTATTGATAGGCAATGGGTGCTGGTAGCTGGAGGGCTGTATAGGAAAGCCTCCACCAAGCTCCATGGCCTCCAGTGGGGAATCTGAAGCTCTTTCACTTCAAGTCAATCAATATGCATGGTGTCCTCTTTTGAGAGGGATGGATTTGCCTGTAATAATTGGGAGCCCTCATAAGTGGTGGTGATGTTTGCTCCATTGATGAACATTTCAAAACCATGGAACTTACTTTCTAAGATAAGCCTGACCAGGGGCTGCTGCCTGTATTTGGGGAAAGCTTGTCTACTGATTACTTGGGTTTTTCACCTTCTAGAACCACCAAAGCCAGCTCCCAGACAAGGTGCCCCACCAGTTACCAACTCTTCTGACAATGCCTTTGAGAACCCTTTCTCTAAAAATGCTTTCAGCTCGTCACAAGCCTCTGTAAGTATCAGCTGCTGCAAGCCGTCAATCATAGTGTTGCCACATAGAGCTACTGCCTCCATGGTTAACCTTGCTTGTAGGTATAACAATCCTGTGATGACCAAGGACAGTTGAATAAGATTTATTATTGAGAACCACCACCATGTAATCAACTCAAATTGGGGGAAGGTGATTTTTGCAGGGATGCCTATTCTAAACTTGAGAAATGAATATCATATAGAAAAAGTCTTTTGTATCTCATTGAACCTGGCTTATAAAAACATTTGAAGAGAAAATCAAACCAAAGTACTATATTTAAAAAATCTTTCATCGATTTAAGTTCCTGATTTCTCACCCACGATTCTTTAGCTCAAAAAAAGAAAAAATACTTCCCATTCTGGGGAAGCAAACATAATCTACCTGAACCTTGATTTTGATGTAAATAATAAATATACACCACTAGTTACAAGCTGGCAAATATAAATCACTGTAGACCCTTTTGTGACCTATGTGAATTTTAAAGAAATTAGAGAAGTCTTAAGTATTTTTTTTCTTATAACTATAAGTATACTTATTGATTGGTTGGTTGTATCTCCATAGATGACTTCTCCTCAACCTGCATCTTCCGATGTATATAGGGATCCTTTCGGAAGTCCTTTTGCGTAACTTCTGTAAGTAGGGTGGCGTAGGGGGTGAGGATGAAATTTCAATTTTAGAATTGGGAAGAGGTTCAGTCTCTGTCATTTAGAAGTAATAGACATGAAAATCTATACTTAGCTACTTCTATAATGACTAGGCTGGTGTTCATATATATATGTGTATATGTGTATATGTATATGTATATGTATATGTATATGTATATATGTACATATATATACACACACATACATACTAGAGGCCCAGTGCATGAAATTCATGCACTTGGGGGGGGCGGGGGGTCCCTTAGCCCAGCCTGCACCCTCTCACAGACCAGGAGCCCTCAGGGGATGTCTGACTGCTGGCTTAGGCCTGCTCCCAGGGAGAGGGCCTAAGCTAGCAGTTGGACATCCTTAACACTGCTGTGGAGGCAGGAGAGGCTCCGGCACTGCAGCTGCACTCACCAGCCGTGAGCCCGGCTGAGCGGTGCTCCCCCTGTGGGAGTGCACTGACCACCAGGGGGCATCTCCTGCATTGAGCGTCTGCCCCCTGGTGGTCAGTGTGCCTCACAGTGATCGGTCGGTCCACCATTTGGTTGATTTGCATACTGTGACACACAAAAAAATACTATATTTTTTGCCGGTCTGACAAAAAATAGGTATAATTTTGATTCATTTGTACTGGATGGCTATTGTAGTGTTGGCTGTTGTCATTTTTTTTCATTTGAAAATCTAAGGAAAAAGAGGTCAGTGCCCCTGACTAAATAGTCAGATATTGCATATTTTAAGAATTCTGGCATAGCGGTTGAAAATCACTGCTATAGAAGGTTCAAAATCTGTAGACCTTCCAAAGCCACAAAACAGGTCAGCTAAACAGGTAATGATCACAATACTCTGCCTCCCAAATCAGTACTTATTTCTTTGAGGGCCTTCAAAGCTAGTCTTAAATAGTCTGATGGCATTAAATCCCAAAGTGGGACAGTTGCCAGTACCTCCTTCAAAAACAGTGTCAGTGCCAATGAGTTTGAAAGTTGATCCTTCCCACTAGTGGATTTCATCCTCAGTAAGTTATTGATGTAACCACACTTTCTTTCTCAACAGTGAGTGGAAGCAACTTTGATTGACATTAAAAGATTGAAGTTAGTGGAGGGCAGGAGGCATATCTGCCTTTAGGAGATGGGCATAGCTGGCTCAGGAGACCCATAGAAAGAGTGAAAAGAACCGTCTTCTATCTGACAACAATAAGACTGAGTTTATTTGCCATTTGGATCACCTCCCCCTCAATGCATTTCTACAGTTACAGTGTTTCTTCTGGGCTTTTTCATAAAATCTGCTTCAGAGAACTGGGTGAGATTTTTGGAAAGGCAAATTCCAGAGCCCACCCCTGCCCTAAAGTATCCCTGTGTGGTGCTGAAGAGAAAAGCTTGGTTTTAACAAGCATCCAGGTGGTTTGTATGCTAATAAGACAGTGTAATATATTGAAGGCTAGAAGTCTTAGCTGAGACTCATTCTCACCCTCCTCTCCAGGAGAAGCATTGAACAAATAGAAAAATATAAACTACACTAGGAGCGTGGGAGAACTGTTTGCACTAAATTGAATTGACTAGAGTTCTCTTTGGAGGCTCCTTTTTCTTTAGGTCTTGAAGGAAGAATAATCTTGGTCAACCTGCTAAACTAACAGATTGGGAGGGGAAGCATCATGGGAGAAAATAGCTAACATTATTGATCACTTGTGTTAGGTACTTTATTACAGGTTCTACATTTATTATCTTATTTAACCCTCTTGCATCAGCCCTAGGAGATACTATTACTGACATTTTAAATAATAGCTTGATATTTAATACATTGATATTCAATCCAAAAATTCTAACCACAGGTTTTCTCTTCTCTGTACTTCTCTAGGAACTTGGCTTGCTGACTTTCCAGAGGAACAGAAAGGTTGGCCTTAGCAGTCAAGGACAAAGCTGATTGCCACATAGTCCTGACCTCTGCCCTTGTTCCAGCTTTGCATATTATCTGCTGCCTTATTTCTTGCTGCCTCTTCCACCTGTAAAGTGTCTCTCACTTTCTGTTTATAACGCTAAACTGAGTCTTATAGCTTTAAATAAATTAAGAATCTAAACACTCTAGCTTAAATATAAATGAAGTAGTTTCCCTACCTGAGCCCTTGCCTATTGTGTCCCTAAAACCTTCTAGAACATTCTACCATGTACCCTCTGGTTGTGCGATGCAGCCACCCCTCAGATCAGACTGCTTTGAATAAATTTTAAAAATCCTTACTGTTCAAGGTTGTTTGGGGGTTCCGTTTTAGAGCATAAAACCTAAAAATTGTAGTCGAGCAGGGTACCTTCTTAAATCTTGCTTCACACCATCACTTCCAGAGAATTTTTAAAGTAAAATTGAAGCAAGTCCAACTTCTCTGTAGGCACTTTGGAATCCGACACACCCAAGAACCTTTTTAAAGATATAACTTCTCTTTCTGAAGATCATATTTTTCTCAAGGGCGAGAGCATCCTTTCTCCAGTCTGCTAGCTCTTGCCAATGAGGGAAATGCATTATTCGTGTCTCCTCTCCCTTTCCCTTTGATTCTCTTTTCAATCAGTTTTGCTCCTGGGTTCACATCACTTCCTTTTCACAAGAAATGGAGTTTTGTGGGGCAAAATATCTAATGATTCACAGATCTGAACTCTTGTCACCTTCTCAGTAATTGCTAATCCCAGTAACTAGAATTGCAAATGGGACAACCTTTATCCTTTCTGTGGAATAGGGGGCCATCCTCTTGAGCCGAAGTTCCAGGAGAGCAGTTAATGTTGAAGAAAACCTGAACTCGACTCAGCAATGAAGGACAACACATCACAAAGTGAAATGTGATTGTGCCAAATATGTTAGGTGCTTATTTGGGGTTATGCTAGACCTTGATCAAGTAACTGGAAAGCTTTCTGGAAGCCACAACCTCATAGCTAGTTGGAAGATCAATAGAAAAAAAAAAAACCACATACACAAAAACCTGCAGAACAGTTGTTTCCTCCTATCATTGCAAACCTAATGTCTGAAATATTTTTCTCCTTTAACCTTGGAAACTGCCCAGTTCTCTTTCAGTCCTATTGCTAGCACAGTTCTGGAGGGTTGGTTCTTGCCAAAATGAGTTTTGTTTGTTTTTGTTGGGTTTTTAATGTTGTCTCTTGACCCCTAATGCTCAGGTTCTTGTGGGTGTTAATCAACCACATACAATGTAACTTTTAGGTAGAAGAAGAAGATGACTGCTTACTATCAAAATAAGATGCTGGCCTCATGAATCTCTATTGATTAGCCCCAACTAGTCCAAGCTAAAGTCCCATGGTTTTATGTTTAATGGTAATAGCTCCTTATATTTGGCATAATTTTCCATCTGGCTTCCTACTCAGTCATTATAAACACAGACTTGAAATAGTATTTTATATGTCCAAATACCTACGTGTGCTAAACTGGAGGCAATTATTTCTAGATAGTTGAATTTTTGAAAGTAGAAAAATTTTTTAAAGTGATGATCAGCCACATAAATATTTTATACATACTTGTTTTCTTGTGCACTTTCTGTATGCAAATAAAGCTATAAATTTACTCATTTCAATAAACTGGAATGGCAGAATCTCTTGTGTTACCATCAGTTTATTCTAATATATACCCCTGTTTTGTGTTGATGTGCTAGGGTCAAGATATAAAATATACCTAAGGAAGAAATGTTAGTTATTATACATTGTGAATTGTCATAAAGATGAAGAGGAAGTGGGGATGCATTAAATAGGACCGTAAGTAAATTATCATCTGATATCTTTCAATTCCTTATTCTCCTCTCTCAGACCTACATCCCTCCTTCCTGGGAGATTAATGGGAATCCAGTGGATAAGCCCTTGTACCAGCACAACCTCAACTGACATCAGGAATAAACATCACTTAATAGTGAACTCTTGGCTCACACCTTTTACTCTTTGCTTGTTCTTGTTCTTGTTTGACCTCACCAAGACACAACTTGGACTGGCTCAGGCTAGCATAGGCCATTCAGAAGCGCTTCTGTATGAGGTGGGTGGCCAATGATCAGTTATTTTTAACCCTAGGACATTCTTAAACACTCTCCCCTGTATAAAAGTTCGAGGCTCCCACTCTTTTCAAGAAGACCTAGATGTTTGAGGAAATTGACCCCAAGGCAGGCCTTGCGTGGGTACAGAAGTGTTGGTGCTAAACTTGATTCCTCTAAGAATAAAACAAATTTGGTATGTGTGTATGGTGGGGGCGGGGGGTGTCATTGATTTGTGTTGACCTTTATGGGACGTTCAATATTACTGTTTACCTTTCCCCTTACCTGAACATTTGCTCTCTTTCTGACAACAATGAGTAGAATATAGAGAAACATACTCCACCAAAAGCAGCTTCCAGAAAGCCAAGGGTGAAGATGGTTGCTGATTAGAACATGTTGCACAAATTAGCTGATGTATCCAGATGTCTACAGTGTGTCTAACCCACTGAGCCCGTGTACCATTTCCAGGTGGCTTCTGTGAGATCTTGCTAGAGATTAATTCTTGCTCATGTGTGCTAGAGGAGGACACTGATTTCAGCATAATGGGAACTACTGTTGACCAAGCAGCGGAAGGTGCTTACTGAAGTGTCCCAGCAAAGTGGAAACAGACCTCTTCTTTATCATCTCTCTAGTCACAGGTGCTACTCGGAGCTGGGTGCCAGAAGTCCATCTTTTATGGTAACCCTCTTCTACATGGAAGAGGCTTTCAGTTAAGCATCAGAGAGATCTAAGCTAAAAGCTGAACTTGAACAGTCAGCATGCTCCCAAATGTCTCACACAAAGGCAATACAAAAAGAAAAGGGATTGATTTTCTCAAGATGATCTTGCATTTTTGAGGTGCTTTACCATTTACACAGAATGTCATTCTGTAGATATCGTTACCCTGTGAGATAGGCTCTGTTTCTGCCCGTCGTGTCTGAGAATGGCTGTGATCTGCTCCACCTCTTCAGAGAGTGGTTTCCATGGCCTTTCATTGTAAAACTGAGTGTTGTGGTAGGGAGATCTTTTCAGTAAGTGATTTCAACTCTTCCATCAAAATGTTATCTGTGGTGTCCAGAGAGAGCACAGGTCTGTGTCTTTCCTGTGCTAAAAGCAGGGAGGGGGAAGCACAGAGGACGAAGCTAACTCAGGAGTTTGTTGACTCTGCAATAAACTGATGAGTGAGGACTCTGACCCAAATTCCCGAAAAGGTTCAATACAAAGTCTTCTAGTGAGAGATGGGAGCTCCCCAAAAGCCCCTGGCAAATAGTCAAGCTATTACCACTGGAGGAGATTGCTAAATACTAAAACACCTGACTCCTGCTGGGAAAGGTTTTAACTAATTCCCTTCCATTCAAAATAACTAAGACCCATGTTCTAAGTTGATGGGCCAAACATGGACATATACAAGGCTGTGAACTGGCCACAGCCTGTTAACATGTCCTAATTACAGCAATGCTGATAAACAAGGACCAGCCACGTGTCAGCTCACCCAATGAAGGACCCTGTTTGCCCTTACTTCTCTGGAACAGTGTACTAATTACTAACCCTCTCTGGTGTGCTGAATCATATGAGTGCCCGTCTCTGGGAAGATGAGAGTATGGGCTACTCAGTGACTAAAATTAGTAGGGGCTATTCTTCCCACATAAAAAAATCTAGATTAATGGCTGCTGGTTTTAGCTCAACAAGGCCCTCAAAGACACAGACTTTTCCCTAGCTTTTCACTCCAACTTTTATAGCCTTTTGGCTCCTAATAGTCACAAAATGGCTGCAGAGCCCCAAAGAAGGAGAGCAGAAAGGGAAAAGGCAGCACAATTCAATGTCTTCTCTTTGTTCTGGGCATTTCAGTTGCTCCCAAGGATTCCGGGTGGACTTCAGCTATGCCTCATGGCCACTGCTAGGTGCAAGGGAGACTGGGAAATCAAGCTTAAAGTTTTATCAACTTCTATAGTGAAGATAGTTAGGGAAAAGACATGGCTGGCTAGATAATTTGTGAGGCCTAGGGCAAAATAAAATTCCTTTGTTCAAAAAACAGGAAAAGAGTGCCATTTGGGACATTAAAGTATCAACTTCCTTTCTTCTTTCTGCAATTTCTCCCATATTGTGGTGTATTTTATCTGCTATTAATGTTCTAAGCAAAGAAAAATTAAAATTTTAGATATTCACATGAGTTTTACCACTGATCTTTAACTCATAAGTGGAATCACTGAAATTATACAATTTGCATTTCATAACTCCTATATGCACTGTACTTCCTTCCTTCTGGAACAATGGAAACACTGCACATACTAATGCAACTGTTTTTAATTCAGTTCCTGACACACATACATTCTACAGTAGACTCTAGTTTACTACTCAGTAAAGAAAGATGGGGGGAGAAAAAACTCTGGGTTGTCCTATCTTTTTCTTTCTATGTCATTATCTTCAGCGTAAGTAGGTGGCTAATGCAGGGACAGAACACTAATAAGAAAGGTCTGACAGTGTTTCTTGGTCATTTGTGTTTCTTTTGTGTTGGAAGCAAGTTCTAATTCAAAGGAATAGTGTGACTTCTCAGAGCTGTCACTTAGTCATGGACATGATCCACTTACCTTACATTCAATTTTGTTTTGAGTGACTGAACTCCCACACCTCATGAGCTCACCTGAATTTCATGTTCAGAGGGCAACATAAACACTGTGTACAAATGGGGTGACATTTTCCATGTGTATTTCCTCTGTTCATGTGCATGCTTCATTTTCCCATCAGACTTCGCTTTCAAAACAAAAGTTCAAACATGAAATTAAGAATTTCAAGATGGCAACAATAGAGCACTCAAGCAAGGATGGGGTCCTTCTGAGTGCTGAGCCCTGAGCACTGGGCAGGTAGCATGCCCATGAAGCCAGACTTGGCAGGAAGGCCTTGGAAATGGGTGGTAGATTAGCCAATGCGACTCCCACATGCCCAGGTGATAGTTAATCCAATGTTGGCCCACCACCAGATGCAGATCACAGCAGTCTTTGACTTCGTAGCACCCTCTGGGCAGAAGATAAGCACATGGGAGGCATAGTCAGCAAAGCCATGGCAAGGTACCTTGACTAGAAAGTGGAAGCAAAGACTGCAGAGGACCAACTAGTTTCCATGTGCGAGTAGCGTGAGAATTACCAGAGACGATAAAAATTGGAAGGAGGTAGGGAATTAAAAGCCACTGCACGGTAGGCTTCAATGTTGACATAACCTAATTTGAACTCAAGGGCTGTGCCATTTCAGTTGGATCCGTTGGAAAGATATCTAGGGGAGGACTGTAAAACTTCTGAGCTCTTACTTCCTGATTGGGATGGGGGAGGTGGGAGAGGGTATAGAGGGGCTAAATGGTGATGGAAAAAAATAAAATAATAATAAAATAAATAATAAAGTAAAATGCTTTGTAGCTCTCCATTTTACTTCATTGCAAACATGACACTGCCAGATTTGGCAAACAATAGTGGATTCAGGGATAGGTCACAGAAGTCAATGAATAGTAACAACCTACCCAGAATTTACCACCTACAGACACTATTCTTCAATGTATTACAAGTAAATAATTTAATTTTCATATCACTTCTGAGTTGGGCTGTCAGTACCACCACCACCATTTTATAGAAGAGGGCACTAAGGTGCATAGTCGAAGAGCTAGTAAATGGCTAAAGTGAAATCCCACCCAGTCTCCAATGTCCTTGTACTTAACCTCAAATTGACCCCTTAACCACTCCATTGCCTCCAAAACTGGCACCACCCCCTTTCCTATGGCATATCTTACATTCACCAAGATTTTATTCATAGTACTTTTCCTGTAACCAATATGCTTGTCACAAAAATGCATGAAAAAATATGTTTTCATTCATTTTTAATTCGGCAAGTTAATGACCATTTGACCTTTCTAGAGCTCACTTTCAGCATGGATTAGTTAATACTTCAAAGTTTGAATTTTCTAGTTCTAAGT